GTAAACTTGTTAGTATGGATGTTGTATAAATGTTTATGTGTGTATGTAAAAATGTATACCCGTGTCCTGTATATATATTCTTTATGCATATATGTATGTGTGTGTGTATTTACATATTTGTCTCTATCCTTTGTAAATATTTACGTGTAATGCTTTCCGTCTTCTTCTCTCTTTTGAGAATTATTTGTAATTTTTTTTTCATGTATGTATAAAAGAGAATGTTTGTTGCAATTTTAAAAGTTTCGAGAGAACGAAATTCAAAATTTCGATGAACGTAAAAGCTGTGCTTTTCTCTCTCTCTCTCTCTCTCTCTCTCTTTCTCTCTTTCTCTCTCTTTTTCTACGAGGTAATTCGTATATATATACCCATGAATGTATATATGTTGTTCGCGCGCGTGCGTGTGTATGTGTATATGTGTTTATTTGTAAGTATTGTATACGCCTTATTCGACTCATATAATCGTTAAATTTAATGAAGAAGATACATGTATAGTATTTTTTTTTTATGTGTATGCGTGTATCTTATTATTGCTTGTAAGGTACAAAACAAGGACTAGATTTTTCTAATACTGTGTGTTTGAATAATATCTATATATACTTGGGACAAAATCTATACATTATACAATATTTATATATGTATGTATACATACATATATACAGAGTAAGTTAACAAATTCTCTAGCTGTGTGATTTTAAAAATCAATTATATATATTCTTTTACCAAGCGTGCAGAACTGCAGAAAAGTTCACGCTTCATCATTCTCTATCTTTTTCTAGTAACATTTTGATAAGACGTTAATAAATATAATGTCTTTTGTTTCAAGAATATTTTCTGCAACCTTATTTAATTAAATTAATCAATTTAATTAATTTTATTTGAACAATCTGAGAAAAAAAAAGTTAACATAAAAAATCTCGAGAAATAATTGATTTCTTATAAAATTTAAAAGTTGTACATCCCTTTTAAAAATGTTTTTTTACTACCCTGTATATACGCGTACACCCACACATATATATATATATATGTATATATATATACATACTTCCTTTGTTTTAAAAAAGGAACAAAAACCCTATGTAACACTCGATTATTTTCACATTTAAACGTTAACTTTCCTATCACTTCGAGAACAGCCTTTTCACCCTGGGCGGCCACATTTTTTTTCTCCTCCCCCCTCCCCCCACCGCTTTTTCTTTCTCTTTCTTTTTCTTTTATTTCATACCATCATTAAATTATCGATATTCAACGGGTATAACGTGATTATCCATTCAATTTGCAACGAGTTCGATCGAATGAACGGCACTTTTTTCTTTGTTTAGTTTAACTTTTTCCCTTCTCTCTCTTTCTCTCTTTCTCTCTCTCTCTCTCTCTCTCTCTCTCCCGTTTGTGTGTTTGTCTCTTTTTTTTCCTTTCTATTTTTCTTTCACCGAGGAGCATTGAGAAAAATTCACAAGGCATGATCGTCCTGAGGCCTGGCTTAAGATGATTTTTAATCTCTAAAAAATAGCTTCGGCTGTGCCTAATTTTTCTCATGAATTTATTTAAATATTCACTAAAGGCAGATAGCTAAAATGGATTACGAATATCAGTTCTGCACACTTTGCATTATTGGTTTAATCGATTAATTAAATTAAATACATTCACACTTTATCATTCTCTTTCATTTTATTTTTCTCGATTATCATAAATGATAACTCAATTAATAATGATCCTCTTTTTAACGATGCGTATCCTTTCAACATGTATTTCATTCTGTCTTTTATTTTTCATTTTCTTTTTCACTTTTTCTTCTTTATTATTTATAATCTTTTCTTCAAATTTTCTTCTTTCTGATTTGTGCTTTGTCTCATAATTTTTATTAATTTTTCTTGTTTTTTTTTTTTTGCGTTCCGATTTTAACGAATCTTCGATCTTTTTTTTCCCGTACTTACAATTTTATTCTATGTAAATATATATAAAAAAAAAAACTCTTTATTTTTTCTTTTTTTTTTTTCTTCTAGGTATAATCATTCTTTTCATCGCGCGTTCGTTCGAATTGAAATCCTTTTTTTCTCAGTCTCTCAGAAAACGATCGTTACACTTAAATTCAATTTTCATTATTTTATTGACTACTATTTATTATTATTATTCTATTCGAATAGATTCGATTGACTGTTTGAGTACTTTTAATATATATTACAGATAAGATTATAGATTAGTAATTGAGTGTACTCTTGAAAAAATGTCCGACGAAATAGCGAAACTATGCGAGCATCATTAAATTCTATAAAAAATCTTTTACCATTCCGAAAACGCTCTTTTTTTATCTTTTTCTCTTTCTTTCTATCTTCATTATTACTATTATTATTACTATTGTTACTGTTATTACTATTAGCATTATTACACTATTATTACTACTATTATTATTATTATTATTATTAATTATTAATTATTAATTATTATGTAATCGGCATAAACGAAATCTATGCTAATATTTTTTTTTAAATCCTTTTTTTTTCGGAAATCTTTCTAATTATCTTTTCTTTCATTTTTATTCCATTCTCACTTTAATTCTTTTTTTTTTGTTTAAATTCAAATTTTACGGTTTTCTAATATTTCTTTTTTTTTTTCCTCATTGTAGTTCTTCTCGTTATTAATAAAAGGATAATACAGCCCATGTATATTATTATTATTATTATTATTATTATATGAAGCGTTCGAATGGAATTGGTTTTTTCCTTTAATATATTGACAAGGATTTACGTAATAATAATTTTGCATATCACGAATCTTATAAGCACTTAGGATTATGTGTGTGTGTGTGTGTGTGTGTGTATTCATTTATGTATCATCGGTCTATTTATGAATCTCATTTCTCCTGTATTCATCTTACACATTCAAATATGTATGCATGTATATTCATGTCGTGGTGTATACACATACACATAACTAGTTCATACATGTGTACACAAGATTAATGAATGAAATTAATGAATATTTCTTATTTACGAATAATCATATTAAGTGGTGAAAGGAGGAGGTCAAAGGGAATGGGATTAGGGTGGCAAAGGTGGTAAGGGTTGGTGGGAGGAACATCAATGAAGGGCTGAAGACGTCAAATATGTTTTTTTGCCTTCAACGTCCAAGGTTTTGTACTGAATAAAATTGCTAACGGTGCCATTATCTTTCACATCGTCCTAGTTAAATTTTTTCTTCATAAGTTTCGAGTATATATATATATATATACGTTTTCAGGTGTCGGTTCTACGCACACACATACGCGTTTCACTAATTAATTAATTCTTTTTTTCCTCATTTTTTTTTCTTCTTCTTCTTCTTCTCTTTCTCTTCAATACTTTTTTTTTTTCATTTTTTTTTTTGTTATTTTTGTTCGATTATTTTTTCTTTTTTTCCCCTTAATCTTCCTTTAATCTTTTTCCCTACATTACGCACGTTCAAAATCTTCAGTACCAAAATATCTCTATAATATATAGAACGCTTTGCGTGTAAGAAATAAGAGAACAGTGTTTATAATAAATAAAAAAAGTCGCTATACAAGTTAAGTTACATGAGAGCCCAACGACATAGGCATCTAGGAAAGTTATACAAATCAAGCGTAATTTGTTGACTAGAGCTTACGTTTAAAATTTCTTATCTTTTCTTTTTCTCTTCTCGTTCTTTCTTTCTTTCTTCTTTTTTTCCCCTTTTTTATTACATTTAATTACGAATTGCACTCTAATTATCCCTTCGATTATTTTTGTTCCTTTCTCTTTGGTACCATTATCGGTATTTATTTTTCGTTTTTTTTTTGTTTTTTTTTTTTATTTTCTTTGGTCTGTTATTCTCGTGTGTACGTTTTCATTCGTTTAAACGTTTCATTGTAATATCATAAATTATGTTCGAGTGATGTTCTTCATTACCTCGTTTTACTTCATCATTCTCTTTTGTTTGTTTTCTATTAATAATTATCAAACTCGATCAGGAAGATCAATTGCTATCTCTCTTTGTGTTTTATCCGTGTAGAAAATTTCGAATAAAATCGAATGAAAGTTTTATAAACGTTCCCGTCTCTCTTTCTTTCTCTCTCTCTCTCTCTCTTTTTCTCTCTCGACGATTAATAGTAAGATTTATTAAGTTAAAACGTTAATATATATATATTTATCATATATTTATCATATATATATATGTGTATTAATATGTATATAAGTATAATGTTGAAATTGGTTATCAGAAGCGCAAATACCAACACACACATTACTCATATGTGTGCGTGTAAATGCGAATGCGTGTTATGTGTGTGTGTGGGTGGGTGTGGGTGGGTGGGTGTTGTGTGTAGGCAGAGGAAATGATGTTCTATTATTCAGGGGAGTAGAGAACGAGTGACCCTTTTGCCTCTGAATAGTCATTTCTACGTTCAACAGGTGGTCCAATTAGTACGAATTTTGATGAAAATGTCTCGCGAGATACCTTATATATAACGAGTTATATTAAGAATGTTCTCTTTAAAAATTTCATCTCCATTGCGATCAGAGATAGATAGAGAGAGAGGAAGAGAAAGAGAAAGAGAGAGAGAGAGAGAAAGAGAATGAGAGCTTGCTCGTTGTAAAAGACCCATTGAAATTGTTTCTTCTCGCAAATTTGCTACGAAATTCTTAATCCAACTTATCGAAGATTCATTGAATTATGAAATGCACGATTTTACGAAGGGTTCTATAATTTATCTCCCTTCCCCCTCTCTTTCCATCCATCCACTTTTTCTCTCTCTCTTCCTCTTCCTCTCTCTCTCTCTCTCTCTCTCTCTCTCTCTTTCTTATTATTATTTTTTTTTTGTTTAATTTTATTTAGCATTATTTTTAATGTTTTATTTTATTTTATTTTTTAAATTAACGCTTTTTAAAAAAGCATTAAAAGTACTCCACGTATCGATTTAGTGACAAAATAATGGTCCCTCGATAATATTGCAACGATTATTTTCTTACATCTTTGGTTAACACCCCTCCCTCCCTCCCTCCCTCCCTCCCCCAAGTTTCTCCCTCGCATATGGTTTTATAGTTTTCATTATTTTCTTCCGATTTCTTTGCGTTATTCTCATTTCCCTTCTTATCTGTGCTTTCTTTCCTTTCTTTTTTCAAATTCAAAGGACGTTAATTTCGTGATATCAAAATGATCGTGAATCACGTATCATGTCGACGTTACGGTAAAAAAAAGGGAAATTTATTTGGACGATGGTCACGCGAAAATTGATAAACATTGTTTATCGTTTATCGTTCACCAACAATGTTTACTGACATTGATAGATATATTTTCGACCTTTTTCTCGGAAACATATTTACGCGACTTGTCAAAATGTCAGTTCATGTAAAATTTCAGGCATGTAAGCATGTACGTAATATTAATTCAATTCCGAAATATATTTCCCTTAATTTAACACTTTTACGGGTACAAACGTGGTCGTAATTTTGTATGCATTTATATACGCGTTCGTGTGCGTGTGTATATGTATAAGACATTCGTACCGTTTTTGTTGACCACTTCGATTTAATTAATAAATTTTTCTAAAAAATTTCAGAAATATATTTATACTTAAAACTGTTTTCGTCTTTCATTCTACGTCTACGAAATTATATGCATCCCGTGTTTATTCGTGTATGTATCGAATATATGTGTGTCTGTGTGTATGACTTTGTATGTGTAAGACATCAAACATTTTTCGGTAAGTTCGTCTTAATAAGTAAAATGTCGTTATATTATTAAGAAATATTAATAAATATATTCAAAACTGGTCTTCTCGTTAGCTTAAAGAAATCGATCGATGGATCTACAGAGATCTATAGATCAAACTTCTTCTTCTTCTTCTTCTTCTTGAATTTTTTCTTCTTTCTTTGATTCATTATCACAACGTTCTCTGACAATAATCCGAATTTATTATCCTATTTTTCGATGATATATTCCAAGAGCATGCGATGATCTCACAATCTTCACACGAATACATATTTTTACGTTTATTTGTTTAATTTTTATATTAGATCAGACAGATTGGTCGAAGTGCGGATAGAAAAGAAGATACACGAGTGACGTTTGTTTGATATCAAAATTTCATCTCCCAATTCTTCTCGATAATGAAGAACGATTTGGCATTTTTTGTTTTCCATAACACACATTGGAAGTAAGTGAAACTTTCTTATAGAAAGAAACACGTGTATCTCTCTGTAAGTGTATTCATGTATATATATGTGTATATATGTGTATGGTATGTGTAATCGCATTTGCAAAAGTAGCTAATGCGAATGAGAATGTCGTTTGACAGCTGTAGAAAGTTTTCAAGCGAAGCAATCGAAAGTATCAATCTCTTTCTCTTTCTCTCTCTCTCTCTCACTCTTATTATTTCTTTCTCTGTTATTCTCAAGAATGAATCCATTGTTGCAGTCTGATATGCGTGATTGAATAGAGTGAGTAGTGTGTTGAGATCGAGATTTAATGGAGGAACGATCTCTTTGAAATCCCCTTTCTAGTTCAGTAAAGTTGCATATGTGTGTATGTGTGTGTCTCTCTCTCTCTCTCTCTCTCTCTCTCTCTCTTTCTCTCTTTTTCTCCCTTTCCCTCTCTTGGTCTCTGCCTGTCGTTTTTTTTTCTTTTTTTTATTGAAGGACTGCAACGTCCGGATCTATGTTAGCCTTTGCTCGTGTTTCTTTTTCTACACCGTTGATCTCCATATTTCTCGCTTGCCCTGGATGTCGTAGTTTATTTCTTTCACTGGCATGTGCTGTAAACGATGAACGTTCTGATTACAAAAGGGTATGTATAACGAGACGGGCACGCTCTAGTAACACCGTCTTTCACTACCGGGGGGATATTTATATATATTATAATATATATATATGAAATATATATTGGGTTGCTTCGATATAAATGGTGCGTTAAAGTTTTTCATTATTTCATTATTATTGTTTAATTAGAATTCATTGAAATTATCTTTAATTATTTTCAAAAGTGAATTTACATTGTTTTTTGTTTTTATATTTTGTGTATATGTTGGGTATTATAGATATGTAGGTATCATTGATATGTAGGTGTCATAGATATGGAAGATTCATTGATATGTAGGTGTTATATATATTCGTAGATATCATAGTTACGTAAAAATCAAAGAAATTTACAAATTATAAATATAGAAGATTCATTGATATGTAAGTGTTTATATAATATATACGTAAGTATCGTAGATATGTAGGTTTCATAGATATGTTGGTATCTTGGATATGTAAACATTATAGATATATGTATAAATATATATAATTGTATATTACGTTGATCAATTAATTGTGACTATCAATGTATCCATATACCACATAATTAATTATACATATATATCTCATATATAAAAATCTATAATACAATAAAATCCCAAATAGAAAGATAAAAATATAATCTTACCTAACTTAATCACGTTTACGTTGTAGTTATTTTATGAAATTAGTCGTCTCTCGTTTCCTTGTAATTTTTATCGATATATTTTTATTCTTTTTTTTTTCTTTTTGTTTTTCAGGCACACATCATTTACGGCGAGGTGTCAACGTCGTTGCTACTTTCGTCACCGTTTTCTCTTTGACACGCCGACTCAAGATGTTTGTTCAGGTACGACTTAAGGGCGAATGACTTGTGACATTTCGGACATTCGTAATTTTTATCCGCCGAATGGGTTTGCATGTGTGCTCTTAAATTCGAACGATCGGCGAATGCTTTGCCACAGTGTGCACATCCGTATGGTTTTTCACCTGTGTGACTACGTAAATGACCTTGAAGTAACCATGGTCTTGAAAACATCTTCCCACAAATTCCACAGCTATGCGTCAATTTGTGCGTTAGCATATGCATCGCCAATGCCGGCATACTAACGTACGCTTTGCCGCAATGAATGCATTTTTTCGCTGATTGAGAATCTATACTGCGATGGGTCTGTTTGTGTCTCGACAAATTCGACGAGGTTGCATATTGTTTACCTGGAAACATCGTAAGAAAAAAAGAAACATTGGTAAGTTGGTTTTTTTTATTCATTTTGTAAATAATACAATTCGTATGTTTTGTTTATTAAAAAATTGTTAATTTGATTAAAATTAGTTCTGTGAGTTACTATCTAATAAATAATTATTAATTGAAATTATTTTGTTTTTTCTTATTGTTATTATAGATATATAAATATCTAATTTATGATTGAGAATATATCTTTATCTGTAAATCATTTTTTTTTTTAAATACATAAATTCTTAATTATTAATTTTTAAATAATTTTTTTTATAAATTTGTTAAATAATTCTATTTAGGTATATATTACAAATATCTCGTAAATAATTGTCAAATATTTTTACGAAGTGAAATTTAATGTTTATGTAATCAGTTTGAATGGATTTGAAACTATTGACAGAAGTAGTATATTATGGTTAATCCATCCGGTCACGTAGCAATAGAAATTCAAATGATTTTAAGGTCTAGCTGATCTGTTACTCTATGAAATCGTGAAATTAGAGACGAGTGAGAGCAAGAGAAAAAGATGGATAGATGGATATAGATATATAGAGATAGATATATAGAGATAGAAGCTAATCAGTAGGTTCTACTGCACCGCATTGTACGTATCAAGACTAATTTGCTATGCCCATCCTCTAGTAATGGATAGAACTCATTAGCTAGTCCACCGTGCTTATGCTACTCAATTTCGAATATCGAAGTGAAACTATGCGATTACTTCCTACACGCGTGGCGAACACTTCAAAGAAGATTATCATTATTTTTACCTTTAGAGCATTAATAATCTAAATGCTAATTAATCCAATCTTTTAATCATAAATTTTTAAAATAAATAAATTTTTAAAATAATAAAGAGAAATGTATTATATATTGATATTTACCACATTCGCAGCAGACGTAACGACCAGTTTTCGATGTTTCTAAGTTTTCAGGTGGTTCAGCTTCCGGTGTTGTTTTCTGGAGAGAAAGGAGTTTCTTATTTTTTGACCTGCCATCGGCGACCAGTAATGTGTCATAAGTATAACTAGCAGCTTTAACTTCCGTTTGTTCGGTAACTGTTTGAACTTCCTTGTCTCGTTGACTGGGTTGAGAATTAGGATTATTGTTTTCGATATCGCTGCTGCATTCGGAGGTTGGTGGTGTCAATGGTGGTGCGGTTTCGATTGTTTGATTCTGATGATGATGATGAAGATGATGATGTTGTTGCTGTTGTTGTTGATGGTGTTGTTGAATCGGTTGATGATGCTGTTGTTGCTGTTGTTGCGGAGTTATAATCGACGTACATGGTATGGACGGCGTACTATACGTGAAGAGAATCTCTTGAACAGGTGAAAGTGGTATAAAGACACCACCCGATGTTTGCTGAACGATCGTAGTTGTTGGCTCGTAAATGATACTCGCTGCTGCTGCTGCTGCTGCTGTTGGCGGTAGTGGTTGTTGCTGTGGTTGATGATGATAGACGGTACCCGAACCGGTAAGATCGATAGTGTTTACTTGATAGATTGGTTGCTCGACAGGTTGGTACACCGTCATCTCTTGAACGTCTGTAGCAGGTGTTTCGATAACGCTTTGAGGACCGATCGCTACACTTGGTGGGGGTAAAGGTGGTAAAGATCTTGAAAGTTCTAAGAGATCGTGCGCAGCTTCTGTCTCTGCTGGCGAACGATCTTTGAACATCGACGAAACATTTGACGAGGATATACTGTTATTGTTGTTGTTGTTATTGTTGTTGTTATTGTTGTTGTTATTATTACAACAAGACGTTAATCTTATTTTAATATCGTCATTAGGGTGTTCAGAGGTGTTCTCGGTGGTACAGTATCTCGTTGGTAGACAGGAGGATTTGATTGAATCATTTAACGGTGAACAATGGGATGCCGAAAGATTGGTGGTAACAAGTTCTCGCGTTTTAGACGTTGGCAAACTCGACGACATTGTTGTCATAGTCGTCATCTTTGTCGTTGTCGTAGTCACCATCGTCGTAGCCGTCGTCGTTAACGTTATTGCTGTTGTAGTCGCAGTAGTAATTGCGGTCAATTTCATTCCATTTGATGATTCTATGGATGATGGCGTTGATAAGGCATTCGTCGATGTCGTATAAGCTATTACCGTTGCCATCTCTATGTGCGGTACTTTCGGTGAATCCGATGCACTTTCCATTGTTAATTCTTCCTGGTTACTCATAGATTCTTTTGAATTGTTGTTCTCGGTTATGGTAGGTGTCCCTGTAGCTGTTATGTCTTTAATTTAAAAACAAAATAATTGTCATCATGTAAGAATAATGTTAACAAAAAAATGTGTGCCTTAAAAATTTTAAAATTCTGTTTCATGTGCTGGTAATTGTGACATTGATAATATCGACTGATTGTAAGTAAAAAGAAAAAAAAATGGAAAAGATGAATTTTATCGTTTATTTCGTATGTAAATTATTTATATTATAAAATAAATCATAAAATAAATTATTAATATAAATTTAGATATTTTATTAATA